AAAAACAAATAGAAAGAAAGTATGAGCCGATGAAAACAGGAAGACTTCTAAATTATTATTGAATCACATCACACGGATTGCCACCTCACAAGCCATGTCACTGGACTAGAACTACTATTTATTCATCAAAAAAAGGAAAGATAAGAAGCTGGAGACAATGGTTGAATTATGTCTCCTACCCCTTCAAATTCTCATAGGCTGCTTTCCGTGGTTCCAGGCTAACACAGAAGAGAAACCAGGACTATCTGGGCAGCACCTCCTTAAAGGTACCTTCCATTTTAGAAAAGATGTGATCCAACCCAAGACAGAGTTACATCCAGGAGAACGCTATCCAAACCTTCCCACCCTTGCTCATTCACTTCCCAACCTACTTCTCATGCAGAGTCCAATTTGGGAAATGTAATGTTCTTTCCAGCTTCTATGGTCTGAATGCTTGTGTCCCCCTAAATTCATGTGTCGAAACCCAATCACCAATGTGATCATATTACACGGTGAGGCCTTTGGGAGGTGATTAGATCATGTGGATGGAGCCCTTATGAAAGGATTCGTGCCCTTATAAAAGAGGCCCCAAAGAGCTACCTTGTCTCTTATACCATGTGAGGACAGAGCAAGAAAATGCTAGCTGTGAACCAGGAAGCAGCCTTCACCAGACATCTTGATCTTGGACTTCCCAGCCTCCAGAACTGTGAGAAATAAATTTATGTTGTTTCTAGGCTACCCAGTCCATGGTACTTTGTTATAGCAGCCCGAACAGACTAAGATACCAACTTAGTCTTCCAAATGAAAAAGTTTCCCTCAAACTTTTCCACCCTCTCAAATGTGGCCAAAGCCCTAATTCCTGAGAGGTTTTCTTTCTGAGAACATTCACTCTTACAGGCTGGCTTTTCCCAACTCTGCCTGACACATGAGCCAAAACAGAGGCAGCCAAAGAGAGAAAAAAAAAAAGAAAAGAAAAATTCTAGGATCAGAATCCATTCTACGTCCTTTGCACTTCAGAAAGCAGGACATGAAAGCCAAAAGCAGTGAGGGTCAGGCTGCCCGGTACATATGTCTTTGTGCCTGGTCTCCTGATGCAGTCTCCAGATAAAACGCTCCTCCTTGCAAACAGTGTGCAAATGAGTTCTTTTTTATAGCTTACATCTGAGCTTGGTCCACCATCAAGTCTGAGTGCCACTGTCTGAAATTTGGGACTGTTTCCTGCAACAGATCTCTACGAGAGATAAGGCTTCCCTCATGAGGCCAAAGCCCTGGTTGACATTAAAAGATCTGGGACAACACAAACTTCAGAGGCAATCACTGAACATAATAAAAACTTTACCACAACCAGCACCTGGTTTATTACCAGCTTTCCATGGCTTTGATAGGAACATCTTTTTCTTTCCTACATTTCATGCCATGAAAATGTGAATTATTTTTCTTACCCAAAATGGGGGTAAAGCATAATGGTTATTTGAATGCCAAAAAGATGCTGCAGAGCAGGTGGACATGTTGAAGTGACTTAGAAAGCTTTGTAAATTTTTTTTGTTTTGTTTTGTTTTGTTTTGTTTTGTTCTGTTTGTCCTTATTGAGACCAGCTGCACTGCGCTCAGCCAGTGAGCGCTGTGAGCGCACCGGTCATCCCTATATAGAATCCGAACCCGCGGCGGGAGCGCTGCTACACTCCCAGTGCCGCACTCTCCCGAGTGCACCACGGGTTTGGCCCGTAAATTTTTTTTTAATGTATGAATAGTGCATAAACGTTCAGTATTAAAAAACAAAAAGGTATGAATAATTATCAAGCTTTTCAATTGCCCTGTCATTTCCTAAACAAGATTTCACCACCAAATTTATACCCACCTGCTTTTCTCTCTTTTCTGCTTCCTCCAGAGATTTTTTCAGTGTCTTCACTTCACTGGTTACCACTTCTATCATGTTTCTGGACTTTTCTTTATCCTCCTTAGCCTTATACTCTGTGGTATCCAGTTCTGACTTGACAGACATTAGTTTTTTCTCAGCTTTCTCCTTCATCTTCTCCAGCTTGTCTCTGGATTTATTGAGATCTTCAATGGTTTTGGTCTGTTCCAAAGTTTTAATCTAAGAAATCAAGAGAATGCTGATAATGTCTTCTGTATTTATTTGGGAAAAATTGTATAAACAAGACAAATCAGAAGTCAATGGAATTCACTTAATGACTTTTTTATGAATAAAGAATGGAATTTATCCCAAACAGTTACACAGACTTTGCTAAGCGTATGTGCTGGACAAACATGTCTTAAGACTGTTATAGTTTATAAACAATGTATTAGGATACCTTTCTTTGGAAAATCAATGAAATAAAAATGTAAATAGCATGATTCTGGGATTAGGTGTTAAAATAAAACCTGCTGGCATGCACACTTTTAGGAGCTCCATAAGCAAAGGCAACTTACACTTGCTACCCCTACCAATAGGTCATCCCTGGTATACAGACATTAGAAAGAGCAAAACATCTCTTCTTATAATGGTGTGCCACATGGGAGCCCCTCCTGGAATCCCCTCAGCAAGTCTTCATCACTGCTGCAAGGGAAATCTAGGCAGGCAATTTTTCAGAAGTGTCTTCTGACTATCCTGATGAGTACTAGAGGTGGAAGGTGGCAACCACCTTCCATTGCCAACCAAGGGAGGGGTGGTGCCTCCCTCCAAGGGGCTGTCCCGGGATCTTAAGACAAAACACAGAGTATCCTGAAGTATGAGGAACATTTTCTTTATTAGCTTATTATTTAAGATTACACCAGAGCTGCTTACAAAAAGAATTTGACTGAAAAAGGAATGAAATTCTGACACCTGCCACACATGAACGAACCTTGAGGACATTATACTAGCTGAAATAAGCCAGACACAAAAAGACAAATATTGTATAATTCCACTTATATGAGGTACCTAGAATAGACTAATTCATAAAGATAGAACGTAGAATAGAAGTTACCAGGGACTGGGGAAGGGGGAGACGGGGAGCTATTGTTTGACGGACATGCAGTTTCAGTTTGGGAAGATGAAAAAGTTCTGGAGATGGACAGTGGTGATGATTGCACAACACTGTGAATGTGTTCATTGCCACTGAACTGTACACTTAATAACGATTAAAATGGCAAATTTTATGTTATGTTTATTTTTCCACAATAAAAAAAAAAAAGAATTTGAAGGAGTTTCACACAGACACCATTTTTTTAACTACCATTAAAAATAAATACAAATGAGCTACCACTTAACAAAAATCTGCTAGGATGGCTAAAATAAAAAAGACAAACAATAACCAGTGTTAGCAAAGATGTGAAGTAACTGGCACTCACACACACTGCTGGTGGAAACATAAAATGATACAACTGCTGTGCAACAAAGTTTGCCAATTTTCAAAATGTTAAACATAGAGCTACCATGTGATGCAGCAATTTCATTCTTAGGTATATACCCAAGAGGACTGAAAACTTATGTCCACACAAAAACCTGTACACAAATGTCTATAGAAGCATTATTCATAATTGCTAAAAAGTAGAAACAATCCAAATGTCCATCGACTGATGAATGAAAAAATAAAATGTGGTACAGCCCTACAACGGAATATTATTCAGCAATAGAAGGGAATGGAGTTCAATGACATGGTACAGCATGGGTGAACCTTGAAAACATGATGCTAAGGGAAGGAATCCAGTTGCAAACGACCACATATTGTATGACTCCATTTACATGAAAGATCCAGAAAAGGTTGGGGGCTGGTGGGAGGGGAGATGAGGGAGAAACTACTTACAGGTACAGGGTTCCTTTTGAGGGTGATAGAAAATGTTCTGAAATTTGATAGTGGTGCTGTTCGCACAACTGTGTGACTATACTAAAATCCACTGAATTGTACTTTTTTTGTGTGTGTGTGTCCTTTTTGAGACCGGCCACACCGCACTCAGCCAGTGAGCACTGTGAGCGCACCGGTCA